AAACTAGCAACCCCAATGCTGCTTCCTTCAGGTGAATGAGACTGGAGGGGGAGATTGTGGGGTCCATCCCATTGGTTGGCAAAAGGTGGCAATAGCCTTATGTCTATTTTGCCTATACTATGGCAGAGATCTTTTGAAAGATCTTACTTGGAGCCAAAGTTTGAAAATAAGTGAAGGAGATTAAAAATGCTTCTGTAGCACACTTGGAGCCTATGGTTCTTTTCTCCTATAAAAGGAGGACCTCTTTCACTTCTTCAAATACACCAACAAAGAGATAAAGAAAGAGTGAGGCATCACAGATATGGTATAAGAAAATAGTTTGTGAGCGGTATTGTAGTGAGGTGGGAATATCAAAAGAGCGTTATTTCTTTTGAGTATTGTAGTGGTATTTGTAGTATTTTACTCAGACCTACTAAATATAAATTTCTTACTACAGTGATATCAATTGCTTCTCTCGGGGTCGTGGTTTTTTTCCCTTATTCAAAAGGGTTTTCCACGTAAAAATTTTGGTGTCGTTGTCACTCTTTTATTCTTGTTGATTACCGTATCTCACTACTACATTATTATTCCGCTTTTATTACCGTGAATATTATTACTGTGAGGGATTTATTCCCAACAGTTCTTTTCGACGCAAATCCAATGATGTTTTATACTTTAATGCCACACAAGAGGGGGGTTTCACATGCACAGATTATAGAAGGACCTGATTCTTCTATGCGTTCCTTACACTACAGTTGCGAAATAAATAATGCAGAAAGTAAAGAACACAAAGATTTTTATGTGGAAAATACCCGTCTTAAAAGGTGAAAAACCACGACCTACTACTCCGTATGATTTTCCACAACACTTCATTAAATCACTGAGCCAAAACAGCATTTATAAAAACTCTTATTAAACCTAAGGATCACCTCTAATCCCGTTGTTGCAACTAGCCTCTAACTGTTGCGACAACTTCAAGTTAAACCCCCTACTACAATGAAACTGGAATAGAAGACAGACACTTGAAACTGGTTCTTCTATCTAGTTCATGTAGCTTCAGGTTCGTACACTTGAATCACACAAGAATTGCATGCAAAATGCCTTGCTATTTTGCTCTCAATTCACGTTTAACTTTAGCTTTCGTGCATACCTGTAAAGTGAGAACATCCTGTAATTTATAGAGTTAGTAGAATATGAAATAACCAGAGTCTCAATGTTATACTCTTCCTTAGTGGAAGAGTTCTAGTTAACTTCATCTTCTAACTCCTTCCTTATTTTGGATAGTGTTCTCTTCGAGTAATGAGTCTTTCTCCTTATCAATTATGCAATATTTTCAATAAGGAAATATCAGATATAACAAGTTAAACTTATCTCCTTCACGTGCATCCCTTATGCTTGAATCTACCCGTGTCTGTGTAAACTGTGGATGGACCTGATCCATACTTGAGTTCCTTTGTTAATCATCAAAACAAACTTCACTTGGGCCAACAAAATCCAAACTTAGTTGCGCCTAATGCAGCTACCAAACACCAAATGTAAAACCCATAAGGGGGGGGGGGAGTGCTATACACGCACAATTAAAAGGGTCAATAAATTTTTATAAAAGACCAATAAGTGATGAAGATAAAAAAGATGATAACAATTCCAAGATATATGATAAAGGATAAATGCCCTGCCAACCATTTATTTTCAATACAGCCTGTGGTTAATTCCCAACTGCCAGGCAAAGTCGGGGTTTTCTAGGTACTAAAATTTTCCTATCACAACATAAATTAACTGTCTGCAGACAGTAGAGGAAAAATAAAAGAAAGAATAGTTTTCTTACCACTAAATAGAGTGTTATGCTAGGTTTCGAACTTAGGGGTATGGATACCGTAGACATCGAAATTTTAACGGATCAAGCTAAATTCTAAATTCAATATACTACAAGACTCTTGAAATTCTAAGAGTCTATCAGGATTTCTTGGAGGTTACTCTATCCTAAGCCCTAACGCACACCTATATAAAGGAATGCATATTCCTTTGAAGAGACATCTCAAAAATAGAAATCTATCTCGAAAATCCCATAAACTCACGTGATATTCACAAAGAGATCAAGAGGTGTCCAGATAATAACTGATAATCAAATACTTCAAGAAGATCCACAGCATACTTCATGGATATCAAACAAATCCATAGACGTCTGCATCATCCTACGTTCGAGAAACATGTTGTTTCATCCCTCGAATCATGAAAATAATCAGAAGAGAAGAATAAAGGGAACAAACAGAATTGTACTCGCGTTCTTTATCAATAAAATCATGTTTCTTCATATTCATATTATGATTGCAGTATATTTTTTTGTATGACGAAAAAATTTGCTGCAAACAAGCACGTTGGCTCAACGCTTCAGGTTAGTGATGGAGTTCATGACATGCGTCTAACTCATACATTTAATATAACGCTTTGTGTTAGTTAATAAAATTCGTAACGTATGCCTAATTCACATATTCAGCGCTACGATTTTACTACCAATCTAAAATCCTGAGTTGCTATGGTAACTAGAACTTGTAAAATTCTAACTGGAATAGGCCATTTCCATCTTTAATCTTACTAGTACGATAGTCGTCAAATACAAAAAGAATATCAAGCTTGTTAATTTAACTTCTTACTCTACGTTATTAATCTGTATGCTCACTTGGGCACCAAATTGTTAGGATTTTATCTTGAATTTTTAATTTACTAGGACTCGTTTTTTAAGGAACGAAAAAAAACTCTTAAAAAGAATAGATCGTCTTCATATGTCTTATCCTTTTCTCGGAGGAAAAGTCTTGGACATTTATAAATTGCGGATATCTGCTTCTCACAATAATAACAATGGCATTCACACTGTAGTCTTCTAGAGAGTTTTGTTTAGGGGACATTATTCTCTCAAAAATTTTATTATTATTATATTTATTAGTGCTAAATTATATTTAGGTCGATTCACCAAATAATTACAAATTATTATGCCTAATTTGCTATATTTTTCTTTCTTGTCTGATTTATCGTCCACCAACTTTTCATTGTTAGCTTCCGCATGAACCATGTTATTTCAGAATCATAATTGCAAAATCTTGTTTAGGTAGAGCATAACTAACATTTCTCATATTTTCTAATTTTGAATAATTTTTTACCTTATGACCTAAGTTTGAAATTAAGTCAGAGTTAATCAATATTTTCTTAACATGATATCAATATCAAACCTATTCCTTTTGGTTTACCCAATAATTGACCCTCGATCTTATGTTGTTCATCGATGGCGAAGAAAGAATTTTAACAAGGAGATTTTAAAAAAAAAATTCATAAATATCACACGTAGTTTATACTTTCGTAGTGTCAAACAAAAATTGAATCTATTCGTTACATGTGATTCCACCATTGTCGTCCATGGCCCCTAAGCTTGCAAAGGATTATTGAAGTGTCTCACATTAGTCGAAAAAATATATTATATATGTCTTCTTATATAATATTTGTTAATTCTCATTTTATTAGTTAGGTTTTCAGGTTAAGTTCGACCCTCGATCGATAGAGCAACTCTTCACTACTTAGGAAGCGCTTCCCTCCGGAATGAGGCCCTACGCGGCGCGAATTCGAATATAATCGGGCTCTAATGCGGGTACCGCCGTATCGGACACCGGGCGGGAAATAAAAAAAACTCTTCACTACTTAGATGTAAAATTCAAATTCAAAGTCTTTCTTTCTTGGCCCTATTTTACTTCAGAAAAGGTTAAAGAAAAAGACAAATTAATCAGAAGAAGAAACTTAGAAAAAACAAATAGGTGTGTCCATTTGACCAATACAAAATCCAAAATCCTATCCAATGTCAAAACAACTTCAACTTGAAACCACACGAAATCCTTTCACAAATTTTCATTTTGTCCTATTCTTCACTTCAATCTCTCCCAATTATTTTGTCTCTTGTTCTTTTGGTTTACTTTGTACTTTATAATAACAATAACAATAACAATAACGATAACAAAAATAATATGTGTAGTTCTAAGTTAGTTGACGTCTATTATATTAGCAGCAGCTCGATGCACATTTTTGCAAAAGGTTGTTTTTATACTTGAACTCGTAACCTCCTGATCACATGACAACAACTTTACAAGTTACGGTAAGACTCCTCTTCATGACATTTGTTATATTAATTTTCATTATCCATTTCACATAATTTAGACATATTTTATCCCATTATTTAATAAATTAAGTTTCTAGAACTAAAAGTTTTTATATATTTTTTATTAATATATATTTATTTTAGCACACCACTTGTAAGATTAAACTGGGTTTATTGTTATTATATATTTGTTTTAACAAGATTAAACAAACTTCTTGGTACAAGTTTTAGAGATCACAGTTTAAATTTCAACAGAGACAAAATTTATTAGGAGATATATTTTTGTTTGTTCAAGTCTTGTAGATTTATTTGATATATATACCGGTTGAAAATAATAAATATATTCAAAGTGAAAAAATAATATTAAAAAGATATTGAAAAGACTCTTAAAAAATATTAGACAAATATAAATTTACCAATAATATTATGTCTTAATCCAAATTTGTTGCTATTATGTGTACGATTCTCTTTCGTCTGTTATATGACAAATTTTTCCTTAATATTTTAAGATGTTCATTATCACTTACTAATAATGTTATTCTATTCATAAATTCATCTTTATTCTTATTTAAAGTTTCCAACCTTGTTTTTCCTTTATCATACTATTATTTTAAAATACATATCACACTTTATTTTTCGAGATTCAAACTATATAAATTTTGATTAATATTTTATCACGCATATTTTTAAAATATTGGTATAAGAAAAAATACAAATCATAAGTTTTTTTTATAAATTTTTGAATATTTAATTTTACATTATAAAATTAATTTAATTTCAATTAATTTTAAGGACTAGTCAAACTAACTCTTTTTTCGAGTTGGTGCTAACTTTCCAATTAATACATTAAATATAGTTTAAACAATTCCCAATAAACCATACTACTTAAATTAAATATTTCAAACTTTCTTCCTCCTTAAATTCCCTCATGTATAAGCAAAGAATCTTATATTTATACTTAAATTAAAATAAAAAGGACCCATTTTTATTTTTATTTTTGTCCAAAATGGAGCTGCCGGAGATGGAATCAATGGCGACGGCGATCGGAGTATCGGTACCGGTGCTTCGATTTCTACTCTGTTTTATCGCCACCATTCCGGTGAGCTTCCTCCACCGTTTTGTCCCTTCCGCCACCGGAAAACACCTATACGCCGCGGTGATGGGCGGTGTTTTGTCCTACTTGTCGTTTGGATTCTCTTCGAATCTTCATTTTTTGGTGCCTATGGTTTTGGGTTACGGTTCTATGGTTGTATCGAGGAGTTATTGTGGGATCATCACTTTCTTCATTGCTTTTGGTTACCTTATTGGATGGTATTTCTCTCTCTCTCTCTCTCTCCCTCTCTCTCCCTCTCTCTCTCGTAATTTGGTTAATTTGATGTTCTGGTTAATATCAAATCCTCCTTTTGTTTCTATTTCAAAAAAGACTTCATTTTTAGGAATTTATGTAGAGTTAACAAGAATGGAACAGTATAAAAACAAAAGATTTATATTGGAAATACTAACTAGTTGGAATTTAAGGCTTACTCGTATTTGGTTGTGATTAGAAATGTAGAAACGCTCTACTACCGAAGAGTAAGATTAAGATAAGTTATTGGGTAGTAGAATGAAAAATGGTATGATGAAGTAGGATAGATATTGAGGATTCATATAACCGGCTCCATTAGTTTGGGATTGAGCATTGCTGTCGTGCCTTTTGTTTTAGTTTCTTATATGGAGTTCACCCTGAAGAAGGGGAGCCTCGGTGGTAAAAGTTTCCACTAGCAAGATGGGTTCAAGCTACGAAAATAGCCTCTTGCAGAAATACAATGTAAGACTGCATACATAAAACCCAATGTGGCTTGGCCCTTCCCCAAACTCCCCACGTAGCGAGAGCTTAGTGCACTGGGATGCTCTATTTTGTATGAGCTCACCCCATGCAATTTGCTTAATTGGATGATGAGCTTTGAAACTATAGAAGTAGAAGTCTAAAAGCTGCAAACTTTAGTGTCAAGTCTTACTAATTTCTCTGTCCGATTTGCGTAATTGTGTGAAGAAATGGATGTTGCGCCTAACTCCACCCCAAAAGTTAGCTCATGAGGGTAGGATTGCATAAGACCATAACCCATTCCCTTAACCAATGTGGGACTAAGCAAATTGGTTGGTGAACTTTGAAAGTATAGGAGTAGAAGCTGTGATCTTTAGTTGCATGTGTGTCAAATTTCAGTGATTTCGTTTCAGTTAAGGTGTTAGATTTTGCACCCATCTCCTTCTTTTTCTAGTTTCTTTAGTATATTTGTCTAATGGGTTTATCTTCTTAACATTGTGTTGTTATTGTGAGTTCGTTTGCGTCTGGATGTCGAGCTGTCGTGAATAGTTGGTTCATGTTAATTTCAGGTAATTTAGGTCTTTAAAATAATCGAGTTAAAAGGAAAGGAGAAATTTACTTGTGGATTTCATTTACATTAGGAATATTTTGTATTGACATTTTAGCATAGAGTTTTATGCAATTAAATAATATTCTTGTACTAGGTTAAAGTGTGATAATGTTCGCATCTTGTTAATGACACCGGTTATTCATTTTTCTATGTTTTGGCATCTTGTCATTTTAAAAGACAATGCATTCTGTGCTTCCTTATGTAACATGTATATTTGGTGATAGTTTGTTCCAAATAGTAAACAAAAGTAGTACTTTGTCATGCTACTGACACTGGTTTTTGGTGATGCTTTTATTCATTTCGCTATGTGTTCACATGTAGTCATTTTATAATACAATGTATTCTGTCCTTCCTTATGTAATATCATTTATATCAAAATAATAAATAAAAGAAGTACTGTGTCATAGATGGTGGTTTGCATAAGATAAAAGTAGCACTTTCTAATACTTAGCTACAACTATATTTGTGCAGCCATGTTTACTACATGAGTGGGGATGCGTGGAAGGAAGGAGGTATTGATGCAACGGGTAAATGCTTCTTTGATCTTTGTCCTGTCTTGATCTCAATCATCTCGTCTATTGAGTGTAATTATTTGCGCAAATGATTTCTCTTCTGGTAGGTCAGGATTTATGTCGGATTCCATGCTTGAATGTAGTGATTAAGCAAACTCATCGGTGTTTGTAATTTAGTGTCGAGATGATAAAACAAAAGACATTTTAGGGCTTGCATCAGACTGATTTAGTGCAGATTCAGTGAAAAAATTGTGATCATGTAAGGAGCACCCATTATTGTTATTTTTTATAAGGATCAAGGAGCACTCATTATTATAATGATCTGAATCATCTTGAATTTCTAGATGGTATGCTGGCAGTAGTGCTTTTATATGCTTTTATGGGTACTCTACAGACTTGTAAAAAATACTATTTACAGTTTCAGAGTTTAGTTGTCGTATCACCAGATATAGCTAATCCAGAAATGATTTTATTCTCTTTTAGGAGCGTTAATGGTGGTAACACTGAAAATAATTTCATGTGTGATCAATTACCAAGATGGATTGTTGAAGGAGGAGGATTTGCGTGAGGCTCAGAAGAAAAATCGTTTGCTCAAGTTGCCATCTGTACTTGAGTACTTTGGTTACTGTCTCTGTTGTGGAAGTCATTTTGCTGGTCCAGTGTATGAAATGAAGGATTACCTTGACTGGACGGAGAGAAAAGGCGTATGTTAATATCATAATTATATTGAGTTCTGCACTTTGAATTTCATTAGAACTAATGACTACATCCACGTCCTTCCTCCTTTTCAGATCTGGAAATCTACTGAGAAAGGACATCCATCAC